TTTTTATAAAGAATTTCATGCTTGATACAATTTTGGGAGTACTTCATAATAATCAAGAGATGCATTGCATATAATAAATCTAGAAGGATGATATAAGGGCATGGTTATTGCTACAAGAGTTTTTTGGTTATGGCAACACAATGTTACTTTCAAAAATATTGATTCTATTTGATTTAACTGTTATAAATCATCAATGTAATAATTGATATTTAAAATTAATTTAGGTGTTAATGTTTTTAAAAAATCATAACCAACTGTTTTTTTTCCTTTAAGTTTCAAATTAATAAAACCTATCATATTAAATACAAACATATGAACTTAACAAAAACTCGTGCGGTAATAACTATGCTCATGATATAACCATTCTATCTTGTGCTCACAATTTTTTTTTTTTTTTTGGGCTAAACTTAACGCAAACAATTCTCCTTTGATGATTGCTTTGTGCAATTGCACTTCAGTTCTCAAAAATTATTTATACAAGTCACCCCCACAGTGAAAAAACATTATTGACCTTAAAGGGAAATAAATATGAGGGCAAAAAAAAGTTAGAAAATAGGTCTTACCCTGCTTGATTGTCCTTTTAAGGGCCTGTTTGGTACAGCGGTTAAAATTCAGCGGATAGCGGTAGCAGGTAGCGGGTAACGGATAACAGGTAGCGGGTAGCAGGTAGCAGTTAACAGATAGCGGATGACGGAAAGTGGGTAGCAAATGACGGAAAATGGGTAGCGGATGATAAATAGTGAAAAGTGGGGCCTAAATTAATGAACTAGGGAAAGTTGGAGAAAAGTTGTTGTTGTTGGTTTTTTTCTTTTTTCTTTTTTTTTTTATGTTCAAAAGTTGGGCAAAATGTTAGCACTTGGCAGACGGTTTTGGGTTGGGATGTTCTCCTTCTTTCACTTTCTTAGGTCCCGTTTGGTATAGTGGTTTTGAGATAGCGGTTAGCGGTTTTACCTAAACCGCTAAATATAGGTGTTTGATAAATTTACATATTTCGAGACCGTTATAAATAAAGTGTTTGGTTAAATTTTTATTTAGCTATTTGAGACTAGCGGATAGCGGTTAGAGTCCAAACTGTTAACGGATTAAAAAAGTTAGTTTATGTAGCTTTTTGTACCGAACCGCTAACGGATTAAAATTTTTTAATTTTATTTACAAATTTATCCATTTTAATTTTTTAATTTGCGGTCACATTTTTTAATTAATAATTATCTAATAAATTTCA